ACCACATGCGCTGGCCTCAGCTGGTAACCACATGCGCTGGCCCAAGCAGATAGATGCACATTGAGCACGAGCAGCACGAGCAGCACGAGCACGAGATTTTTGTGCCAACGCAGTAAAATTGTCGATTCGTTTTCGTCTGCAGGATCTGGAGAGCCCAGCAGTCACGGCATCGGCATCAGTTCATCGGCAGCAAGCCAAAGGCCCACCATTCTTCTGGTGAGAGAGAGATAGGATGCTATCAATACGAAGGACCGTTCAAGAGGATCCTGTGTTTGCAGTGGCATGGAGGGTGGCAGGGGTGGGACGGAGAAGTGCCGGGTTGGGAGGGTTTGGAGGGGTGAGGGAGGTCGAGAGGGTGGGGATGGCCGAGAGGGTTGGGAGGTTCGGGAGGGGTGGGAAGGATGGGAAGGGTTGAGGGTCGTTCACCTTTAACCCTTGGTGCAGCTGGTGCGGTTGCTCCGATTCCGCACTCAAATCGTTCTCAAACTCTTGAGTTACCACTCTTTGTTACTATTCTCTCAGTTACCGCTTATATCCCCTTTTTGAACCACTTGCTCTCACCATCAGGCATCGCAACAAGCGAGCAGGAGGCAGAGGAAGCAGCGGCAGCAGCAGCAGCGTGTGGGCGAGGAGGAAGCGCCTTGCATCATGCGAGCAATGGAGGGACGTGGGGAGGGATGTGGGAGGGATGAGGGATGTGAGGAAAACCTTGCATCATGCGAGAGGGAGGGACGTGGGGAGGATTCCCTGTGTGCTGGTGGTGCCAGGGATAATGGCAATGGTGTATGGGGTGTTGATAACGATGATTATGATCATAATGATGCCATCACTGCCAGAGATAATCGCAATGGTGAGGATGCCAGTGGCGCTTGTGTGGGTGGTGAAAAGGATGGTGGGGCTGCTGCAGGTGATGTTTGTGTTGCTGCAGCTGGAGCAGCAGCAGCAGCAGCAGCAGAAGGAGCAGGAGCAGCAGCAGCAGCAGAAGGAGCAGGAGCAGCAGCAGCAGGGGGAGCAAAAGGAAAAGAAAGAGTAGATTTTGGGGTGGGGGGGTATTAAAAGAGAAGGGGACAGAGGAGGAGGGAGCAAAGGAGGAGGAGAGGGGAGAAAGGAAGGGAAGAGAGAGAGGAAAGGAGAAGAAAAAGGGGAAGGAGAAGGCGGAGGGAAAGTGGAGGCAGTGGAGGAGAGAAGAGAGTAGAAATGTCATTGGAGGTGGCTCAAAGATTGCTGAGGAGATGCGGGCGGAAGCGAAGGCTTCAAGAGACAGAGGTGGGTTGCACATTGGTATCGGTAGAGATGTTTTGAGACGTCTCAACATCACTTTATCAGGTGGGTTGCACATTGGTATCGGTAGAGATGTTTTGAGACGTCTCAAAACATCACTTTTATCAGGTGGGTTGCACATTGGTATCGGTAGAGATGTTTTGAGACGTCTCAAAACATCACTTTTATCAGGTGGGTTGCACATTGGTACTGGTAGAGAAGGTGTATGGAAGAAAAGGAAGGGAGAAGGAGGGGAGAATGTGAGGGAAGAATGTGAGGGAAGAATGCGAGGGGAGGAAAACTACGAGGGAGATGCAAAGGCGTCACAACGGGCTGAACTGCTGCACGCGATGAAACGTGAAATAAGTGTGTTTTTGTTCTTGAGACTTCTGAAAAGCACACTAATATCTCGTGGCTGAACTGCTGCATGTGATGAAAAAGAAACCAACCTTTGTGTTTCCTGCATCCCTCTGGCACCACCTCCTCCTCTCTGTCTCTCCCACCGCACAGCACTCTCTCACCTTTGGTTACGATCCCACCGCCCCTCTTCCTCCCATCATCCTCTCCCTACTTCCTGCCCCACCCTCCTCTCTGTCTCACCCAATCCATGTTAAATCGTCTCTCACCACACTCACTTTCTTCATTTCCCCCAACTCATCACTCCACCCCGACCTTGCTTGTTGTCAGGGCGTCGATTTGAGCGGGCTGAAGAGGAGGCAGGGAGGAGGTCTGCAGGAAATGGTGGGTGGGTGCATGCATGGTGGGTGTGACCCATGCTGTGCCATAGCATAATTGCCACGAACTTTTTATGTCTGAGAACCCAGATCCACAGGCTTTTGGGTCGACCCAAGAGCCATGCTGTGCCATTTCTTACCATATTTGCCGCAACATGATATGTAGTGAACCCAGTTCCACAGACAGCATAGATGTGCGTCCTTTCTTCTCACACCCCCTCCCCACTCACCACCGCTTCCCCTCATTAATCCTCCCCACTCACCACCTCCCTCCACTCAATCACCACTCTCCCCCACTCACACCCCTCCCCACTCGCTGAATGCAGGTCATCAGGGCTCCTGCAGAGAACCTTCTACCACTCGCAGCGATGGCAGGTGAGTAAGGGCTCCTGACTCGACTTGTCAGTCACCACGTAGCAGCTCCGTCGGCCGGCAACTCCTCTCTTCCAGTCAAGTGCCCCCCCCCCCCCCCCACCTTCCCCCCTTCCCTCCCCCCTCTTCCAGTCAAGTCCGAAACCTTTTCTCACCTGCAACATCAGCAGCTTGCGTTCTCTTAGACGGCGGCTCGTGACTTCACCACTTCTTGTCACTTCTTGCCACTTGTCTGAAGAAGCCTCGAAGAGCTGAAACTGGTTACTGCCAACGTTTCCTGTACTATGGATTTTTCAAGCAAGCTTACGCAAAACAAACCAATGTTTTTGCTAAAAGCTGCTGCCACGTAAAGTCATGGCTCCTGGATGGGGCTCCCTTGATCGTACTCCCGCTCGCAACAACTGCAGCTTGCGTTCTCTTGGACGGCGGCTCTTGGGACTAACCTATTGCCACTTCTTGTCCTATCGCTTGCCTTTCCCTGTCCCTTGCGTGTTTCCCGTATCTCCCCAAGCCAGCCAATCACGGCGCAGGAGATGGTGCAGGATTCAGACAGCGAGGACGAGTGGGACGAAGCTGCCGCCGCCTCGTATGCCGACCGAAAGGTGCGGTGAGGAATGGGAGCGAGTGGGGGATGGGGGCGGGTGGGGGAGGGTGGGGCGTGGAGGAGGGTGGGGGGTGGGGAATGGCGGGGTTGGAGTGGTGCTGATTGGAAGGTGCGGTGGGGAGTGGGGGTTGGCAGAGGCCTCGTATGGACAGCTCATGTACTCTTCTTGCACCCCTCCCTCGTTCCGTTCCCCTACCCCTCTCTCTACCCCTCCTTGCACCCCTCCCTCTTTCCCCTACCCTTCATCTACCCTTTCTTGCACCTCTCCCTCTTCCCCCTACCCTCCTCTACCTCTTCTTACGCCCCGTCATTTCCTGCACAGTGCACACCCCTTACCGCCCTCTTCTAGTGCCCCTCTTTATCTATTCTCCCTCGCCCGCCGCGGCAGTTGCTGGGCGAGTTTGAGGACGTGTTGGGAGAGGAGAAGGGCATTATGCACCGCTGGATGGCGTTTGTGCGCCGCCACAGGTGAGGGGTTAGGGTGTGGTTGAGTGAGTGGCATGTTTCTAGTGCGCCTGTCTTCCTATGCTGCCTCTTATGCAAGCAGTTGCTGGGCGAGTTTGAGGACGTGTTGGGAGAGGAGAAGGGCATCATGCACCGCTGGATGGCGTTTGTGCGCCGCCACAGGTGAGCGGGGGTTGCTGTGTGGGGGTAAGGGGTTGAAAGGGTTGGGTTGGGTGTGTGGGAGTGTGGAGTGTGGAAGCCTTTTGACTTGACTCACAGGCATCATGCATCGCTGGATGGCGTTTGTGCGCCGCCACAGGTGGCGGTTGGTGGGTGCTGCTTGCGGTCGACTGGCTAATGGAGTTGAGGGGTTGCTGTGTGTGGGTTGCGCTGAGTGGCGGACATGACTGTGCGACCCACACGCATGTGCATCTAATCGTCTCCTTCTGTCTCTGATTGTGCTTGCCTTTTCCTATCAGGGTAATTGCAGACAGGCATGTGCCGTGGGCGTGTGAGGCCTTCGCCATCACACATAAGGACTTCCTCTCCTCCTCCCCATGCACTCGCATGTGAGTGCCACTGCCCTTTTTTTTGTCTGAGTTGTCACAGTAGTCACATTGTTACAGTGGCACGTGACATAAGGAGTTCCTCTCCTCCTCCCCATGCACTCGCATGTGAGTGCCGCCAGCCCTTCTCTCTCTCCACCAATTTCCATGCTCCCTCCTTCCACTTTTGAGGCGCCTCAAAAGATTTCCACTCCCTTTTTCTCACTCCACTTGATTCCATGGCCCCTTGTCTTGTCATTCGCCATCTTTGCCTCCATTCCCCTGTATACGCTGCTTTATTCTAAGTGGCTAAATTAGAACAAAAATTATGAAATAAAATATTTAAAATAGAAGTAAAACCAACTTTTACAATAGAAATATAAACGAAAACATGAATAAAAAATTCTCCATAACTGCCTGTGTGGCTGACACCTTGTCTTCCCCTTCTCCCCCCCCCTGTCTCCCCATCCCACTTCCCCTCCCTCCTCCCCCTTCCCCTCCCCGCTCACTCTCCACCTTTCCCCACAACAGGTGCTTCATGCTTTATCTAGTCAAGCTGTGGAACGTGAATCTGATTCCGGGCGGCGTCATTCAGAAGTGCTTGCAAATAGTAGATTCCGCCGGCCAACAGCACCCGCCCAAGTTGTGATGTGACACAGCAAGGCAGCCTATAACGGGTATGAACTGTTTAACAGTTTTACTAGAAGACAAAACGCAGCTTCCACCAGTTTCCAGCTCGCAAGAGGAGAGGTGGTAACCTGTGCTGCGTTTTTGTATGTAGTTGTAACAGGTTCTTCTCATTCTATCCTTTCGACACAATACAAAAAGGTCCAGACAGTGGCTTTACGACTTGTATAAGAGGCAATAGCCAGCAAGAAGAGAAGCTTGTGGCTTTTGAGGCGCCTCAAAAATGGGGTAGTAAGCAGCAAGTAGCGGAGCTTCTGGCTGAATGCATCACAGCCAGCAGCAGCCCCCTGGCAAGCAGATCTTTCATCAAAAGGCTCTTGGCGCAACTCAAGAGTCACAGATAATAATCCTTCTAGAGCTTCCAGGTGCCGTGGGCCATGGCTACTGGTGGCAGGTGGCTAGAGGGGATAAGCGGGTAGAGGGGGCTCTTGGCAGCTCGCAGCACAGCCAGCAGGCAGTCCACCTGCTGCAGTAGACAGCTTACCTTCTCAGGGGACAGTTGACTGGTGCAGCTGGTGTTGTTGGTGGCACGGCTAGGTGACTTGTGAGTCGACTCAAACGTCACCAGGCAGTTCACCTGCTGCAGCAGACAGCTTACCTTTTCGGGGGGCACTTGACTCGCGCAGCTGGTGTCAGGGCTAAGTTGCTCCCCACCGCAGCTTCGCAGGGAACAAGTCTTTGCAATTTGTGCCATGGGAACCAACTGCTCATCATCATCATCAGTAGCACCGTTGATTTCCTCTGGCAGCCTGTCTGGCAGCAGATCCACGCCCTCCATTACATCTGCCCAGTCTGGGTCATAGTCACACCCCCCATTGTCACGCCTGGCATTGTCATACTCCTTGTCACCCGACACAGCATCAAGGCCACGCTTCTCACCCTCCTCAGGCAGCTCTATCTCATTCTCCTCGTTACAAGCACACTCCTCACAATCACACTCCTCCTCATGCTCGCTCTCTTCCGTACCCGCTCTATTTGCCGAAACCTCCCCAACTACACTTCCCACTGGCTGCACCGCTTCCAACCCTCTTTACCCAACCGACCTACATCACACTGGTTTTGTGCTGCCTCAAGACCAAACCCCTCTACACCCATCGCAACCGCAGTACAGTGGTCCTCATCGCTCACTACTTGGCACGTGAAGCCTAACGTTGGAACTTCAAAGGGCATATCAGCGAGTGGAAGGTCGAGCGTGGTTGGTAGAAGTTCAACGCTGGAAGGTGGAAGGGTGAGGTCGGATGGAGAGTGGTGAAGTTCGGCGGAGAGGGGCGGAGGTCGGTTGGGGAGTGTCTGAAGTCGGTTGGGGAGTGTCTGAAGTCGGTTGGGGAGTGTCTGAAGTCGGTTAGGGAGTGTCTGAAGTCGGTTGGGGAGTGTCTGAAGTCGGTTGGGGAGTGTCTGAAGTCGGTTGGGGAGTGTCTGAAGTCGGTTGGGGAGTGTCTGAAGTCGGCTGGGGAGTGTCTGAAGTCGGTTGGGGAGTGTCTGAAGTCGGATGGGGACAGGCCAAGGTCAGCCTCGAGCTCAGTGATTAAATAGCGCTGGCTGTGCCTGCGTTGCACTTGCAGCTCATGCTGCTCATGCTGCTCATGCTGCTCATGCTGCTTCTGCTGCACTTGTTGCTGCACTTGCTGCGGTAGCGGCTGCACTTTCGGCTCCAGCTGCTCCGCTTGCTCTTCGGCTTGCTGCTGATGCCAATGGTTATCATAATGGTAGTCCCTATGTTCCCTATTCTCTTGATGCAAGTCTTCCTGTCTGCTAACAAACTCAGAGGAAGGTTCTCGGAAGGCAGGTGGCGGAGCAAGGGGAGGAGCAGAGGGGGCGCGGATTGGGAAGGCATGAGGGGATGGAGGAGGGCGAGAAGGGAAGCCAAATCAGGCGAAGGGGGTTGTGCTGGGCATGAGGAGAAGCGGGTGGAGTGGCGTGTGGAGAGCCAATGGGGGGCATAGCGGAAGGGGTTGGAGAGGAGCAGTGGACAGGAGAGGGAGGCGAGGAGCAGGTAGCAATGGCATTAGTGTTGCCAGCAGCAGCAGCAGCAGCAGCAGCAGCCGTGGAAGGAGGGACAGCCAGGGGAAGCTTGGACATAGAAGCGCTGTCGAGAGGGCGATCGGATTTCGTGAGGATGCGGGAGAGGAGGAGCGCGAGAGTCATGATAGCTGACGACGACGATTCCTTTGCAGCATCTTCCTTCCTCCTCCTCCTCCTGCTCGTCTTCTTTCCCTTCCATGCGCTCTTACCTTCACCCTCCCAGCCTCCCTCTTGCCCCTCCTCCCACCCTCTTCTCAGCCCGCCCTTCTGTTCCTCCACCCGCCTGGATTCCTCCAACCGTCCTCTGACCATCTCTTGCATTGCACTTGAGCCAGTCTCGAGCTCCTCAAAGCTGCTGGGAACCTATACGCGTTATTGACAGCCTCCTGGTCACGGCCACTGCCGTCGCCTATCCCCAATGCGCGTTCAAACGAGTCCCATATTTGTGGTGCGCTCGAGCTGGCTAGCAGCGTCACCAGCGATTGCTGCTGCTGCTGCTGCTGCTGCTGCGCCTCTTCCTTTGGTTTCCACCACTCGTCACAATCACCTTCATCTTGAGGGCTTTGAATCACTTCAACGGCAGGAGCATATGCAGACCCACTCTCCAGCTGTTGAGACCCATGGCTCCTCTCCATCTTCCTCCTCTTAGCTTCTCTTCTCTCCTGCAGTAGCTGAAGACCTTTTCCGTCCGTTTCAGCTGCTGCAGCTGCAGCATTGTACCCATTAGAAGCAGCAACAGCAACACCACGCCAGTCCCAGCAGCCACTCCTTTCTGTCTAAGTGTGGAGTTCCAATGGTCCTCAACCCCAATGTCCTCTTTCCTACGTGCCTCGCAAATCGCCCCACCACCCAGCCGTTTCCGTCTAAGAGTGGAGCTCCAGTGGTCCGTAATCGCGTTGACCTCTTCCTTGCACGCCTCAGCAGCAGCACCGCCAGTCCCACCACCCACCCGTTTCCGTCTAAGCGTCGAGTTCCAGTGGTTCTTAATCGCGTTGTCCGTGCGCCCAGGGAGGTACCTCGCGACCAGTTCAGTAGCACCACCATCAGCAGCACCACCATCAGCAGCACCACCATCAGCAGCTCCAGCAGGCTCGCCACCCAGCCGTTTCCGTCTAAGAGTGGAGTTCCAGTGGTTCTTAATCGCGTTGTCCGTGCGCCCAGGCAGATACCTAGCGATCCGCGCCCACTTATTCCCGTGCCGCGCGTGCGCCTCCGCTAGAATCACATCCTCCAGTTCGCTAAAAGCACCGCGCTTCACAGTTGGGTCCAGCTGGTTGCACCACCGCAGCCGGCAGCTCTTGGCGCTCCTTCCCGGAACCTTCTCCGCGACCTTGTTCCAGTGCCGCCCGCCTAGCTTCCGCACCATCCGCAACAAGATCTGGTCCTCCTGTTGTTGTGGGGGGAAGGGGGAGAGAAGGAGCGGACACGGAGTGTAGGAAACATGGGGCCAGCCATTGACTTTATAGCAGTGGCAGCGTGTCAATGGGTGCCCAGTGCGCGCCTAGCTTCGACACCACACGCCGCAAGATTGCGTCCTCCTGTTGTTGGGGTACGAGTAAGGAGTGGGGGAAACGGAAGAAAGAGGGAAGGGGAGGGTGAGAAAGGGGAACTGAAGCGTTTAGTTGTGATAAAGGGGTGCCTTGAAGATTGCCTGTTGATCAGTGAAAGCGTTTAGTTGCGGGAACGCACCTCGGGCGTCCAAGATCCGCGGGCTGAGTCCAGAAAATCGTCCGCGGCGTCAAGCTGCTCCGCCGCTGCTGGAAATGTTGCTGCTGCTGCTACTGGAGATACTGCGGCTAATGCTGCAGCAGCAGCTGTCTGCGCTGGCTGGCTCGTGGCCATGATAGCTGCGACCGCCGCTAGACACCGAATCTGTGGCTACAAACGTTCCATTTTGGACTAGTAGTGCGTTCGGCGGGTCAGTAGGACAAGCCCGGTACAACGAGGTCGAGCCTATTATTTCGAAGGCAAAATTCGTTCGGATCACTGGCTACTAATGATCAACAGGGTAGCAATCCGCGATACCTGTGGGCAGTCCAGTGTCGATGCTTCCCGGTACGATATAGACAGAATACTCAGAAATTAATATAATATACGAAATTGCTAAAGAAGTCCTCAAAGCCCGCTGAGGTCGCTTGTGTTTTTGAGTCGACTCAAAATCAGATAGGCATTCGCCACCGTACAGTGCATTCGAGAAGCTATCACATCCTCAAAATAGTCAATGGGAGCAGCCGAAGAAATTTAGACAACGAATACGTGGCAATCGTCTACACGTAACGGCGTGAGGTCGCGTCGCCTCGCCCAGTCGCAAGTTGCGACCTAAGACTCGTGGGCAGGTCGCAGGGTGAAAAACTGGATCACCGGGACAAACTGAATAAGAGGAAGAACGTTCGGCGTGAGTTTGTCTGTTACCGGATGTTTCAAGGGAACGTTCGGAATTCCGTCTGTCGGACGCTAAGGAGAACGGCAGTGACACGGATGAGTAGAACCCGTGAAGGAGCAAGCATACGTGGTAGCTAGGATAGGATAGGATAGGGCAGGAGGAGGCAAAGAAACCGCAGCAACATGCGTCGTGCTGCAAGCATGGTGGAGAGCTCATGGGATTCAATGGGGCGATTTGGAAGAAGTGCGAAGCGGAGCGAAGCGAATAGTGGTGTGTGATGTGAAATGTGATCGATTGGGTCGGCTGGAGTGACACCAGCTCGTTTGCTCCGTCGCGTTGCATGTGGACAACGCGATCGAGGCGCACCACAAATGCTTTCTCTTCCAGATATGTTTCGTCAATGATCGAATTGACAATATGATTCGCAGATGCTTCCAGATGATGAGATCGACGGTCATAATGTGGCGACATCACGTCGCGAGCGATCTCGCTGAATTACCAGAGGCCAACATTGGGCGTCAGGTTGTGGGCATGTGGTGGGGGTGTGGCTGCCAGCTGAGGCCAGAGGTGGTCAGTGCAAAGGAGTTCTGTACGGTACATTGTGATATCGTTCTTTCGAAGTCGTTCCAGCTGAGAAAAGAGTATGTTTTAAACTCTTCACTATAAAAACCCACTTGTGAATCCTGATACAGCTGTCACTATACTAATGTACATATTATTGCACTCAACCGCCCCTCATAAGAGGAGAGAATACATGCAAACGCATACACAGCTTATAGCCCAAGACCGCTCGTCTGTAGACTGCACTCCCCAACCTAGGGCTCCTCATTATCTGACGGAGCAAAATTCAAGTCAAACTCCAAAACGCGCGAGCAGTTGGAGTGGTGTGTGTAGTTCCATGATTGTAGTTCTGAATCTGTACAATTGGAGGCCACGACCTTGCAACCTCCCTTGTTGCGGGAACACCGCTCACATCATTCAAAACATACTGCTGGTGTGGAACAGGATCAGGAGAATTTTCACTCTCAGCCTCATGCTGCTGAGTCACATTGTCCAAAGGGGGCGATGCAGGAGGCGAAAACAGCAGGGCTGGTCCTGAACACTTTTTCTTCTCATGCTGCTGCTGCTGCCACTGCTGGTGGGCAGAAGTGAAACAAAGCTCATTTTCACACGGCTGTGAGAGAGGGTCTACCAGAGGTGAGTCAGGAGGCAGCAGGACACGGTCCGGCAGCATGGTGAATCGATGGTGAAACACCTTTCGATCCAACGGTAGCTGCTGCTGCTGCTGTTGATGCTGGTGCAGCTGATGCTGCTGCTGCTGTTGATGCTGCTGCTGCTGATGCTGCTTTCGCTGATGCTGCTGCTGATGCTGCTGCTTCTGCTGATGCTGCTGATGCTGCTGAGATTGCATGCCTGCTTCAAAAGGCAGCAGCTGCTGCTGATCGCCCTTCCAAGGGATATCAACTGCCTTTCCCATTGACGAGGCGCTCCATTTCTCCTGGCCAGGAGCATCTGCAGCACATTCAGCAATGCCAGAATTCTCCGGTGCTGCTTTCTGCAGATCACACAGGCTTTCTGCGACCTCGTGAGTATCGGCCTCCGCCTTTGCTTTGTCCATTAGCTTCAGCCTCTCCTCTGCGAATCAGAGACAATCACATCAAAAATCCAGAATTTGTACCGGCACTCTCAACAGGGCATGCGATAGGAATTGCTGTGAGCTAGAGCTGAAGCAGCAGCTAGAATACCTCGCCTATGCCTCGACATATGTCCGCCCAGAGACTGAGGCAGGGAGAACGTCCTCCCACACTCCTTGCACTCATATGTGGACGGCAATCTGGGTCCCGCTGCCTGTAGCTTCCGGAGCTCATCCTCCGGAGAAAAAAAAGAACGAGCTGGACCCACGCAACTGGAAGGCGCCTCATTGACGGGAGGCTTGAAGCCCGCGAGGCCGATGACACCAGGTGGCTCGATAGTTGCATTTTGGTAATTAGTTGCATGTGGCTGTATGATTGCATGTAGCCGGATGATTGGATAGGGAGATTTCCAGCGGGGAGGCCGGTATGGCTCAAAGGTGGTACATTCCCAGGAAACTGGTCACTGTGGCTGGAATACACTGGAAGGTTCCTAGTAAAAAGGTCCATACGCCCAGAAGTTTCCGCAGGTAGGTTCCTGATGATAGGGTCAATCAGGCTGGAAGACTGCACCGGAAAGTTCCTGGTAAAAGGGTCCACGTGCCTGGGTGACTGCACAGGAAGGTTCCTGGAAAAAAGGTCTGCGAGACCAGAAGATCGCCCAGAAAGATTTCTGGTGAACGCGTCGGTAACACCGGATGACTGCAAAGAAAGCTTCCTGGAAAAGGGGTCCGTATAGCTGGATAGGCCAGGAGGATTTCTGGTAAAGGGGCCCATGTGACTGGAAGCTTGCACAGGAAGGTCTCTGGTAAAAGGGTCCCCATGGCCAGACGATTGCACAGGAAGATTCCTTGAAGCGGGGTCCGTATGGCTGGAAGATTGCACTGAAAATCCCCCACACAGTCGATTCAGATAGCTGGACGATTGATCCTGGGTAAAACGATCCATAGGACTGGTGCCACGCGCGAGAAGGGGAAGCGAATTTAAAGAGCTTCGTTCAGGCACAGGAAGCTGGGACGAAGAGGAGAGATGAGCAGCCGTTGCATTAGAGGAGCTGGGAAATAAGGAGGGAGGAAAAGAGGCGAACGCAGTTGGTGGGGGGCCGAGGGGGTCGAATGGATGTTCTGAGGCTGCGAAAGGCGTGCTTTATGGATGATGGCTTGCACCGCATCCTGCACTGGCGAATCGTTGTGAAAGCATAGAAAGAAGGACAGAAGAGTTGCATCAGAGATAAGAAAGCACGCAGACATGCAAGAAAGCGGATTCTTAAAAGGGATTCGCGGACAGACTGAACGCATGCAAAATTTGCAATCTTCCGCATTTCTGTTGGCCCTCAAGGGGAGTAGACCAAGAGGTACAGAAGCAGTCACCTGTGAAAGAGGCCGACGGGGAGGGGAAGAAGCTTCCCCGCGATCAGGCGAGCAGCAAGAGCCTCGTCATCATCGCTAGCAGCGCCGCCGCCTTGATCTCCCCTTGCTCAGCAGCGGATCTCCGCGCGATCTCTTACCGCTTCCGCCCCCCGCTGGACTCCGCGCTGGCCTTCAGAAGGCCTCCCGCCTCAATGCTCCGAGCTCCAACGCAAAAGGGGAGGGACCGCTATGTCCCGCCGCATTGCACGTGAATCTTGACTCAGACAATGAGGATTTCCCTTGTGTCCTGAGTCGAGACGTTGGTTGCAGTAGTAGCTCGCGATAGGACCTGCGCGTTCCATCGAGGCTCCTCTTGCCCATACCTCTCAAGAGGACTATTCCCCCCTCCATACCTCTCAAGAGGGCTATTCCCCCTCGAATAACTCTCAAGAGGACTATGCCTCCTCTCAATTTGGCCATACCTCTCCAACCCTCCACGAGCAGGGCCCGTCGCCCCTGACCGTCCCTGATCCATCACAAAGAAAACGACTACTACCGCCGCTGGCGTCTACATTAATGTACTGAAATGCGCTGGCTTGATAAGGTCGCTCTTGAAGCTATAAGACCTCTCATTCCTGCAGCAGCTGGCGGATCCTTCGCGGTTTCCGTACCACTGGCGTGGCAGCTCGGTGAAAGGGAAATAGATACCAAAACCCGGTGGATGGGGGACTTGACCCCAATTGGGCTGTTTACATGATAACTCCTGCACCTTAGCCATCAGTTGGCCCCGCCCGAAAGCTCCCGAAACCGAACGCCCGCTGGCATAACACGGCTAAAAAATCCAAAGATCGGAAGGGCCTGATGTTGTCCCATAGGGCTTTGCATGCGAAGGGATGAGCGTCATGCCCGTGCTGGCTGGCGACGGTACAAGTCACGCCGCCATCCAGATCCATAGAAGAGATTTGAAGGGCGGGCCTCTGACGACCAATTTAGAGTTGAGCAGTTCGGAGAGAAGCAGGATGCGCAAGTCAAGTCTGTAGCGAGCGGCAGCATTTATTCGGGATCGGCGTCAGATGGGAGAGAAGTCGCGTGTATGCTTGACACATGGGAAGATCTTAGATCATGAAACGAGATGATCCTACGTCGCTATGAGCTTCTCAAAAACGTCTTATATGACTATCCGTTGTGTGTAGCCGCGAGAAGCTTCCTCAGGCGTTCAGCTTCAGAATATGTAGAACGGCGATCTGGTAAAGCTGGTGGGAAGGGCTATCATGAACGGCAGCCCTCACGCTGCTGCTCACTTGGCTCCAAACGATAAGGTGCAACTCCTGTCGCATTCCTAGAGCTGCATGCTCTAGTAATCGCGCTAATACGGAGACGGCTTAGCGTTCATGGCGGCGACGTAGAAAGCCACAGGCGAGTCTGCAGAGAAGCCACGTGTGAACAAGAATCAAATACTCCGACCTTTAGAGCGTGCTACGTACCATTCTTTTGGGGGGTGGTCGGGTTGTCTCGAACGGCTGGGTTGGGTAGACCAGAAGGGTTACCAGATTACCCTATGCTGTACAGTCTACAGTAGTGGACGTGTGTACCAGAGCAATCTCACACCTGGAACGTACCAGTAAATTTGCGGGCAGGTTACACATTGACAGGAGACGACGCGACTGGTGCACAAGAACAAAACATGAAAACTTTGGCGCAAATAACTGGCAAAGTGACTGCTGGGTCTGCCCACATTGCCTTAAAGCTGCGGTCTACGTACGAAAATGTATTTTTGGGGGGTATTTCGGGTGCACACCCTAGGACGCATGCTGATTGGGGAACGAAATGACTCATTTCAAGAAATGAGCACGCGAATGTTTCAAACAGAACTGGCAAATCCTGCCAGTTTCGTGAAAGGTTCGGTTGGGTGGTAGGGACGCGTTACTATTAAAAAACCGAGGAAAGATCGGGGATGTTCACGATCCTGCCAAAATCGATCGCCACATCGGTGTGCCACGACCTGATTTTTTGCAATCGCGTGCCCACCGCAAGCCCCAAGTGACACGATAGGAAAAATCATGGGGCAAAATTGCCCGATGTGGACGGAAATTCGCACGATCGATGTGTGACAAGGGCACATCGATCGCCCGACTCCGAGGGGGACAGCTGTACATTAGCGACGAATGACGAAAATAGGTAACCAACACTTAACGACGTCCGTGAATGCATGTAGCCACGAACAACCGATTTTGTG